AGCATAGAGTAGACACTCTCTGAATAGCAGGTATTATTATAACTCTTATGAGTCCTCTTTCAGAGGTCCTGCTATAGAATACATGCTCATGAATGCTTTTTAAGTGAAAGAGGTAGGACATTTGTCTTTGTGTCTTATTACCTTGCAATAAAACATAATTTGGGATTATAAAAATTATTCTTATAAGCAGTATTTCTATATTGACTTATAGTTTACAAAATATCTTTGTAACCAATGCTATGATCCCAAAATGTTCCCCAGATTGGCAATTTATTGCTGAACTGTTGCAATCATTATTTTGTCACCCAGTCTATTATCATGATGCTTAATAATTAACAATAATGATAAACTGCGAATACTAAGGAGTCTGTTTTTTAAAAAGTAAAATGTGTTATTGTTATAGACCTTTATTTTTAAAGACTTGGCAGTTGAAATTGGACAGATGAAATTGAGCAATTGATCACAGATTTTCCATCTCAGCAGTCAATCTTGGAAGTACAGGCCTCCTCTAAGCAAGCTTTGACAAAATGCATATTAAAATGGTTTCTTAATTCCTTTTTGACTCCTTTAATACCGCTTAAAGTATCAGCTAGGCTATCTGTTCTCATTCAGGTTAAAATACAATTATTAAAAACTCTAGGAGGTGATGTCGAAAACAAAAAGAATAGAAAAATATGGGTCACTTTCTTGAATCTAAATAAATGTACTGTGTCATGTGCTGAGATTAATGACTTATTATCTAAACTCAGTAGGAATGCAATTAAGTGCTAAGAAACAGAAAGCACTTCACATTTTTATAAGACTGAGCTGTTTTTACTATCATAACAACTGAAGCATGTGCTTAATAGCTCATCAAATGCATTTACTTGACTTCAACACCTACAAGGTCAAAACCAGACACCAACTACAACTTAAAAGTGTCATTAACTCCTTTGAAAAACTGTTGAAGAGATTGTTTCAAGCAGCAGAAGGTTGGATCCCACTGAGGTTCTGATGTGTTTCAGGGACTATGGAAGGTGCACCTGTACATTAAAAACCATGTGTTTATGAACAGTGTTACTCTTAAAGCTCTAAATGCGAAGCTTGCCATACAATCATTCCTTAAGAAACAAGCCAATGGTTCCATATGTAACAGTCCTGATCTCCAATGTTTTGTATTTCAGTTTAGTGATTATGGACACTATACCTACATTTAAAACATGCTATATTGGGACCAGAAGATGGAGTAATGGATTCGTTGTTGGACTCCTATGTAGTTGACCACGGTTTGAGTCCTAAAATTGGCGACTTAAACTCATGCCAGGTGCATGTGTATGCATGCCCCAGATCCCGAGAGGAGATGGAGAAGAGACTGTGGCATGACCATTCCCCCTGGGGGTGATTTCTTGATTTCTATCTCTCTGGCAAGTGCATGCGCCCTATAGCAAAAATCTCTCTAAAAACCAAAACAGAAACAAAACATGCTATAACATATTTAAGGGTAACAGCCAGTCAGAAACTGAGAACTTAACAGCATCAGATTGGTACTAGACTATTTGGGGCAATCTTTTCTAGATTTGCTCCCCCAAATCCCTACACAGACATGTGTTTCTATATTTCTGATTTTTGTTTCCTTTTATTGCTTCTGCTTCTTTCCCATCATCTGCTAGGGATTTGAAACTATCTGGAGACTTACCGTTTCAGTGTTTCTATTTACCAGACTCACAACTATCTTTGTGTTTATAACATCTTGATCATTTCAAAGCTATTTTACAAATAAACTCTTTTAATCCTCTTAGTAATTGTGAGATGAGGGAACTGAGGCACAAAGAAGTTATATTTTATGCCTGAGGTCACTTGAAGTTAGTATCAAATCAGAATCCCAGCCTCATGACTCTATCCAGGGCTCACTTAATTTCCAAACTACTGTATCATTTGCTTGGTCTTTGGATTTCACTAGTGCTGGAAATTCTTTCTTACCACCTGTGCGATTTTTAATTGTGCTAGTTAAACTCTCTGGATTTTAGCTTCCTTGATGGTGAACAGGGATAACAATGACTACTTCATAGGTTATTTTAAAGATTAAATGAAATGATATATATAAAGTTAATAACTCTGAATAGTTTTAAGTGCTCAAAAATATCTTTCCAATCTCGGGAACCAGCAGTTAGCATAATGGCTGTGTCGCTGGACTCCCACGTAGTCGACTGTGGTTCGTGTCCCGGACCTGGTGGCTTAAAACTCACGGCAGGTGCGTGTGCGTGCATGCCCAAGATCCCGAGAGGAGAATGGAGGAGAAGGGATTGCAGCGTGACCATCCCCCCTGGGGGGTGATTTCTCACTTTCTGTCTCTATTCTCTGTCTGTCTGGCGAGCGTACGCGCCCTATAACCTCTCCAAAAAAAAAAAAAAAATCTTTCCAATCTCTACTCTTGCTGCCACTTCACCTAAAGATAACTCCTTAGACCTACTGAGGGTCTCTGAAATGATCTGGAATTAAGTGACAAGCCAGGAGGGAATAGCACTCATGAAGTATCAATATGGTGGCAAAGTTCAGTTTAACCAAGGACTTATCTGTTATCTATGGGGTCGTCGAAAAAGTCATGAAGCATTTTTGCATAGAAAACCAGAAAAACTATGTCATGACTTTTCCGACCTAGTACTACATCCTTAGAGAGTGCCTAGTACTATAGATGCATAGATGAAGTATCAGCAGTCAAGGAATTTTGCAAGAGACAAGAATAAAATTTGTTGATGATTTCCTAGACTAAGAGATTCTAAAAGAGGCAAGAGTGCCATGTTAAAAAAAAAAAGTTTATTTACTTTATAACAAGAGAGAAAAAAAAACAGAGAGAGAGACAAGCACTCTGACTACTACTTTCTTTTCTTTTTCTTTTTATTTGAGAGATTTTTGTTATAGGGTGCATGCTTGCTGGAGAGACAGAGCTGGAGAGGCAGAAGGAGACAGACAGACAGAAAGCAAAAAATCAGTCTCCAGGAAGGATGGCCATGTTGCAATGCAATTGCTTCTCCCTTCTCCTCTCAGGATTTTGGGCATGCATGTACATGCGCCCCAGCATGAACTTCAAGCCACTGTGTCCAGGACTCAAACCACGGTTGACTTACATGGGAGTCCAGCACCTTAACCACTATGCAACCTGCTGGTCTCCTGACTAGTTCTTTATGCCACGTTAAATTCCTAGCTTCAGTCAGTCCCAGATCATGGTCTCATGAACACATGCCTGGCATGCACAGATATATCCTGGGACATGAACCCAGTACCTTTCTATATGGGTCCAGTTGCATTACCACAGCACCATGGCCTGGCCCCTAGTTTGTCAATATTATAGAGTTCTTAGTAAATTCTCCCAAATAATTTCAAATAGAATAAAATAATTTACAACCAACTCATAGAAATGTATAGTTTACTTCTAAGTGGCATATTCCTCTAAAGCCCAAAGTATTATTTTTTTAGACAATTACATGGGGTGAGGGAGGCAGGTAGAAGGGCTAGTCTCAAATTAAGCCTAAGAATGAGAGGTTATAAATGCTAGGTATCTCTGCTGTGGTTCCATTACTATAGAATATTTGAGGATAGGTGTAGCCATTTGGTATTTTCCCCATCAGTGCCTTGGGACAGAAATACCTGTTGAACTGAATTTTAGTTCTCTGAGTTAAATAGACCAAAAAGTAGTTATAACTCTACCCCATTTGGCTTAGACTGTATAATAAGATAATCACAATCAACTAAAAACCTTCATGCTCAAAGTATTTTCCAAAAGACCAAACCTAATGAAATCTCAGCATAACTTGGTTTAAAATTTTAAGAATAGGGGAGATTAAATTTCATCACTATCAACAACAACTAGTCACTGGATGCTTATGCGTGAATTTATGTTCAGAAAAAGCCTAGGGTTTAAGGTTAGACAGTTGGTTTCGATCCTGTCTCCTTTAGCTAATATGGACTGACCTGACTTCTCAGGGCCACAGTGTTCCTATTTTGAGAACAGAGATGATGCCATCTACTTTACAGCATTACTAAGGATGTTAATTGAGATGGAATTTACTTCATATTATGCCATATTTATTATATTAGCCAGTACTAGAGAAGTAATAGTTTTTGAGTGTTTTATATGTAGACATTATTCTAAACCCTTTATATTTATTAATGTATTTAACTTTTTTCTGTCCAATGAGGTAGACGGTATTGTTGTCCATCTCTTTTTTAGAAATGAGGAAATTAGGGCATAGAAAGTTTTTTAAAGTCTTTGTCAAGGTCACCAAACAAGAGAAAGTTTTTTTAAAAAGTCTTTGTCAAGGTCACCCAGCTAGTCAACCCAAATAGTCCAGCAGCAGAACCTGCTCATAACCACTTCCTGTGTCCTCTCGCTGTATCTCAGCAGCTCATTCTACCTGTTTCACTTCCCTTTAGATTCTCGTATACTAAAATTCAACAGATCCTGTCTTTTCCAGAAATAAACTGTTGGCACACTGAGGACACATGGCATATGCACAGAGAGATGAAAGCAATAATGAGACGACCTGTGAAATGCCAGGAAATGGGATAACCCCAAGTGCTGTCCATTTGGGAAGAAAGCAAATAAAGAGAATAGCGAAAACAGCAAGATTCTGCAATGCAGATGGAACTTGCCTTTGACCTTGGAAACCAAACAGAACTCAAACCAGCCAAGAGGAGTTGGGAGAGTTATTTCAGACGGTGGTGAGGGCAAGGACAAAGGATTTTTGTGTTCATGAAATGGGTATCAGTTTCAGTGAGGGCAAGTTCCTCCACAGGAACACTGAGGCAAGAGTGAGAGGCAGTTTTCAAGTCATTTTGGAGAATGTTTTAAAAGCCCAGGAGGGGTGGGAAGACCTCCTGCAGGAGGAACCCTGGAGTTCGTGAGAGGCTGAATGCATGTGTCACAAGGCGGATGAGAAGGCAGGTGTATGCCACAGATGGCAGAAAAAAAAAGGAAAGTTAGGGGAAGGCTGCTAGCGAGCAGTAGTCTTCAGTACACATACCTACATTCAGACACTTCCCAATTATTCCAGCGATGATTATCTAGTTGGTGGGTATTCCATGGCCTCTCCTCACCTACTGGCTGTCCTTTTCGTTTGTTCCCTGCTTGTTAGCACCTAGGGGTGGACACGGAAGCAAAGTGATTTTCCAATTAGTCTTTTTTTTTTTTTTTTCCCTTGCTGCTCCTCAGTAGCTGTGGTAAAAGATTTTAAAGATTTATTGTGTCAGAAAGTATACTGTGAACAATCAGAACATTTCTTGTTCTTCCATCGCACCCCATGTACTTTTAGTCCCTTTATTAAACAATTTGCTGTCGAGGACCAGAAATTACATTCAAGCTTAACCCTGGAAAATGTAATCATTTATTCTCTTTGATCAGAGATAGGCTTGTAAATTGGGAGCTATCCACATGTATTTTCAAATAACATTCTTACAGCAAAACCTTGTCTCTGATCTGGCTCCTGAGGTTTTTCAGTAAGAACGGTTAAATTTAGTCTCCTTAAAAAAGCGAGGTATTACCTATCTCCAGACTGACCTTTGTACTGCCATACAATGATCATCCATATCAATCATTCTTAACTTTGCTACTTCTTGAATATATAAGGCAATTGCTGCTTCTTTCAAAGTTGAATATAGGCTAGCAGGAGACCTGAGTGATATTGTAGCTGCAGAGTATATGTCTGACTTTATCACTAAAGTGTCATATTGGGAGGGATAGCCAGAAAGAAAGAGACAAAAAAACTCCAAAAAAACAAAAAACAGATGTAATGCCAAATTCTTTCTTTAAAAAGTAATATTTAATGATTGCTTCAGGAGACTATTAAGAATATATATGGAGGAGAAGGGATTGCCGTGTGGCCATCCCCCCTGGGGGGGTGATTTCTTGCTTTCTGTCTCTCTGTCTCTCTTTCTGGCGAGCGTACACACCCTATAGCAAAAACCTCTCCCCCTCAACAAAAAGAATATATATGACATCTCAAAAGATTACACCATTATCACTAATATATATTGAATAAGAGTAGACACAAAGATTATTCTGGTCCTAAATGGCTCAGAAATTCATCTTTTAGTTCTGTCCATTGCATGCAAAAAAATTGGGGAGCAAAGCAAACACACGCACAAACTCAAACATATACACACACACAGTCTCTTTTGAGAAAATAAAAAGAGCTTAAGCGTTTATATCCTTGTCTAATAAAAGCCACCTAATGAATCTATGAGATTTCCTTTTCTCTAATTAACATACTTTCTTTTCTTTCTTTTTTTTTTTTTTTCCTTTCTTTTTATATTTGCTAGAGGGTGCACACACTTGCTTAAAAAATACAGAAAGAGAGAGAGAGAAGGTGAGAAAGCGCCCCATGTAGAGGATGGTGAGCTATAATCCTTTCTCCTCTATTTCTCCTTCCTGGGTTTTGGGCACACATGCACATGCCTTTCTCAAGCTGCTGGTCTGAGACTAAAGCTGTGTAGTTGGCCACATGAGATTTAGCTACCATAGCCACTCCACCACCAGGTGGCCCTAACATAATTTCATAAATTATTTCCAATTCTTCCACTTGGGTTCTTGTTAACTCTTTGTCTCACAACCCCAAATATTGCCCATATAGTTCTAAAGAAATAAGAAAAAGAGTAGAAAAAAGTACATCCAGTTTTCCTAGGATATGACATTTATCAATTATGCCCATATATTAGCCAAAAACTGGCTTTATAGTTTGTAAGAACTTCTTGGGAAATACACAGGCCTGCTGACTTCAGTATGAAACAATACAACGTCTCAACTATTTGCAATTTGTTTGATAAGCTAGAATTATTTCAAAGTTCCCAAATAAACAGAAATCGTTATAATTATGAATGATTAAAATGCTAAACTCAAGAGGGCACTCAACATTATTACACCATAGAACTCGTCCCCTAAGGGTAATGCCTTCAATTAGCTCAGTTTTTACAACAGAAGAAAAATGTGACAATCAGTAATTGCAGGTATTTAGTTCAAAGAACTAAACAAGCTAACTTACTTTTAAATCACCTTCTCTAAGCCAGCGGAGGCACTACTGTCTTAGATTCTTAGCATTTGTACTAATTCTAGAATATAGAAAAGCAACAGATAATAGAAAACAAACAAACAAACAAACACTGCCTTCAAAGTTATCAGTAGATGTACTTAGGCCTTATCAGCTCTTCTTATTGACTAGGCTAAAGTAAAAGGTAAGATACAACACAAGTGATTTTTTTTTTTTTTTTTTTGTAGAGAGGTTTTTGCTATAGGGCATGTGCACTCTCTAGAAAGACAGAGACAGAGAGACAAAAAGTGAGAAATTGCTCCCTAATGGGGATGGCCACGCCAGTCCCTTCTCCTCCATTCTCTTCTCAGGATCTTGGGCATACACGCACACACGCCTGGCGTGAGTTTAAGCCACCGGGTCTGGGACTCGAACTGCAGTCAACTACAGGGAGTCCAGCTACATAGCCATTATGCTAACTGCTGGTCCCACAACACAAGTGATTTTAAGAGGGAGCCTTTTTTTTTTTTTTGGTTGAGGTTTTCACTATTGGGCATGTGCGCTCGCCAGACAGACAGAGATATAGAGACAGAAAGCGAGAAATCACCCCCCAGAGGGGATGGTCACGCCGCAATCCCTTCTCCTCCATTCTCCTCTCGGGATCTTGGGCACGCACGCACACTTGCCCAGCGTGAGTTTCAAGCCCGAGTCTGGGACGTGAACCGCGGTCGACTACGTGGGAGTCCAGCGACATAGCCATTACGCCAACTGCTGGTTCCCAAGAGGGAGCCTTTTTAAAGATATGAGGGCACTTGAAAAGTTTATGGAAAAATGGGATTGAAGTATGAGTAACCTGGTGCAAAATGTTTAAAAATCCATGTATAATCTTTTTATAATATGCATTTTACATGGAAAGGGTTTTTTTTTTTTTTTTTTTTTTTTTTTTTTTTTTGCTGCTGAACAATAAACTTAATATTTAAGCAGGAGTATACTCTAAAGATATAAATACCGTATAGTAAAAACATAAATCAGTAACAGTCATTTTTACTATTATCAAGTATTATATACTGTGAAGAATGGTGTATGCTTTTTATTCTTTTTTCTATTTTTACTTATATTGTAATTTATGACTTATGTGTAATCATTATGCATTTTTGTATGGTAGAGTAGGTTTTTAAAAAGTATGCATATGATGTAATAAGTTGAGGATATAAAGATATTCACCATCTTCAACATATTACCTTATGTTGTGTACAATTGAAATTCACTCTACTGGTTATTTTGGAAATAAATATTAAATTTTCAATGATGTTCTTTACTGTGAAATATAATTGTAAAGAACAACAGAGTAATTAACAGTCAGAAACAAAAAGTCTCATAAATTATTGAGGACGAATTTTTGAAAGCAAAGATAACCTTAATAAAGCCAGTTAAAAAAGGATTTGTAATTTCCATGTAGAGGATTGTGAGAAATAAGAGTTTATAATCTTAACATTATCTCTGGTACCAATCATTGGTCCAATGAGAGATAGGTAAAATTGTAGAAAACTCATTAGGAACAGATAGAAAAAGAAAACTTTTACTCACTCACTGTGAGTTCTTGTAAGACCACAGTACTATACTGTATATAAAGAAGTCCTAGAAGAAGAAAAAAAAATTGAAAAGAGATATTTAAAAGTGAAGACGTGGTAAAAATCTGTGATTTGATGATTTATAGACTTTACAAAGTTCTTGATTTTAGCCTTCTTTAAATTCATTCCAAAGAAAAACTTAACTGCATGTAACAGTTTGGATATTTCCTCTGATTTCTAATTTAATACAATAAATAATGGTTATAATACTAAATATATAAATGCAATATGCAACCTGTTGAGACAACTGTCTATTAAATAATTGGTGAATTGTACTTAAACTTGCTTGTGTGTAAAACAGTGGAACCTGAATTTTTAGCATGCAGATACTTTCCCTTACAAAGCTCTCATTTGTTTTTCATTTGTTTTTGTTTTGTTGTTATATTTATGGTTTACTGGAAAATATGATAGTTGTGATAGTCATGCTTAACACTTTGGTTCAAGAGAAAAAATGGATGGGGTGTCATAGAGGTATTCAAAATTTAACAGTTCAGAAAATCCTTAGCTCTGCTGAGAAACTAAAGATGAGAATTATGTAGTATATACTTTGGTAATAAGGTGGTTTCCATCCAGTACAGTGATCATCATTCAGTTCATGCATTCTAAAATGTTCTGTTGTTTTTGATCACTGGAAACTAGGTTCAAAGTACATTCTTGCTCAACAAACTGATGCTACGAATATTAATGTTCCAAGATATTTACTCTATGTATGTCTTTGTCAATGAGTTGTGTTTCTTGTAGGCAATATTTAGAGGGGTCTTATTTTTTGTCCTTTGAGCCAATCCGTGGCTTTTAGTTGGAGAATTTAATACATTCACATTCAGTGTTATTATCGATATGTGTGGACTTATCCTGTCACTTTATTACTCTTATTTTGTTTTTCCAGTTGCTTTGTGTTCTCTTCTATTTATCTCCTTTTAGTTTCCTAGTATAGTATTCCCTTAAGTATTTTCTGAAGACCTAGTTTAGTTTTGGTGATTTTTTTCCCAGCTTTTGTTTATCTGGGAATGATTTTATTTCTTCTTATTTGAAGGATAATCTTGCTGGGTATAGTATTCTTGGCTGAAATTATTGCTTTTTTTCTCCTGAGTTTTAAATATGTCTTCCCACTCTTTTGTTGCATGCATTGTTTCAGCTGAAACGTCTGATGTTAGTCTAATGGGGGTAACCTTTATAAGTAACTTGTCAATTCTCTCTTGTCATTTTTAGAATATTGTCTTTGTCTTTGATTTTACCAATTTGGCTATGATATGCCTTGGAGAAGACCTACTTATGTTAAATCTATTTAATGACTTTTTTTTTTTTTTCTGGATTTGGATGACAACATGCCTCTTTAAATTTGGAAAGTTTTCAGCTAATATGTCATAAAAGAAACTTTCTATGCCTTTACCTGTCTCTTCACCTTCTGGAAAATCTATTATGTGGACATTTGGCTGTTTAATGTCTAGGATTTCCCACATGTTCTCATTTTTAATAGTTATTCTT